TATATTAAAAATTCCTCCAAAAAAAAAAAAAAAAAAGAAGCATCCTATGCAAAATAAATCACCACAATTAGAATACTCAGTAATAACTCACAAGTGAATGATTACTCCATAGCTTTAGCTTTATATTTGCAAGAAGGCTCACATAATTTTTCAGTAGAAATAAACACAGAAACTATATTTTATTATTTAGACTGATGTTTGAAAGTTCAAGTAAAATTTCTCCCATAAAGGAAGAGGAATGCATTCAAGAAAGATACAACTACTAAATAGCTAAATGGAAAATAAAGCAACAATGAGCAAATATGCTTTAAATACCACTATAAAGAACATTAAATTAAAACTCATAATGTAGGGACTAGCAGATGGTGTAATGATTACATCGTTGGAGTACCACATGGTCAACTGCAGATTGAATCCTGGACCCAGCAGCTTAAAACTCATACCAGGCGCGTATGTGTGTCTGCCCAGGATCCCGAGAGGAGAACGGAGTAGAAGGCATTGCAGCATGGCCAAACCCCCCAGGGGGTGGTTTCTGTCTCTGTCTCTCCAGAACAACAACAACAAAAACTCTCAATGTAAAAAGAATCATGTTTTATTTAAAGTGGTCTCTTTTCTCTTTCACGTAGTAATTATGCTCCAATTTTGAGTATTGCCCTTGCTAATCTAAGGGAGAAGTACAGAAAATATAAAGGCTGATACAAGAGAATTCAAGAATTATATTAATAGAAGCATTAGAAATAAAGGAATATAAAATAAAGTCCAGTATCTTTTCATTTATTTTTTATTACCAGAGGGTGTGTGTGCTCATCAGAGAAAGAGAATCCCCACTCCCCGATGAGGCATGGTCATGCCACAATCCTTTTTCTTCCTTTCTACATCCTGCCAGAATTTTGAGAATACTCACACACACACACTGGGTTTACTTTTCAAGCTACCAGGGGCTGAGATTAACACCATGGTCAGCCATGTAGGTTTGAGCCTCTATAAGGAGTGCTTAACTACTATTCTCTGGGGCTAGCTCTATCTGCATGTGTGTGTGTGTGTGTGTGTGTGTGTGCCCAAAATCCTGAAAGGAAGAAGAGAAGAGACAACTGTATGACTACTTACCAATCGGGTTACTTTCTCACTTTCCCTCTCACTCTCTTTTTCTCTGTGTCTCTTAAACAAGTGCACATACCCTCAGAGGAGAAAAAAGGATTGGTGTAGATAACCTATGATTAATATTGCATTATTATTTTGTCAGTGGAAGAAATAATTGTGGCAAATAAAACTGTCTCTTCTCTGTCTTAACCTACCTTTCATAAACAAGGTTCTATAAAAATGATGCATTATTAAAAAAGAGACATGTAGACCAGTAAAACAGATAGAGAATCCAGAAAATAACCCCTAAATCATACAGTCAACCAACGGATCTTTGACAAAGGGCACAAGAGAATGCAGTGAAGAAAAAAAAAGTTTTTTCAACAAATGGTGCTGGAAAAAAAAAAAAGGATATCCAACTATATAAAAATCAAAGTGGACTGCTATCTCTTACCATTAACAAAAACCAACTCAAATGGATCAAAGATTTAAATGTAAATCCTCAAACTATAAAGCTACTGATAGAAAACACAGGGGACACTATTGAAGACATTGGTGTAGGAAATGATTTCTTTTTTTTCCTTTGGAGAGGTTTTTGCTATAGGGCGCATGTGCTCACCAGAAAGACAGAGAGAAAGCAAGTGAGAAATCACCCCCCAGAGGGGATGGTCAAGCCGCAATCCCTTCTCCTCCATTCTCCTCTTGGGATCTTGGGCACACACGCACACAGGCCCGGTGTGAGTTTAAGCCACCGGGTCCGGGACTTGACTTGAATCACGGTCGACTACATGGAAGTCCAGTGACATAGCCATTACACCAACTGCTGGTACCATTTTCTCATTTTCTTCTTCAATTCTATTTTTTTTTTTTTTGCAATGATTTCTTACATAAGACCCCTAAAGCACAGGCAATAATCGCAAAAATAGACAAGTGAGACTTCATCAACTATGCTTTCTGCAAAGCAAAGAAAATGATAAATGGAGTAAGGAGACAACCCACAGAACTGAAGAAAGTATTTTTAAGCTGTGTATCAGATAAGGGATTGATAAACAGACTATACAAAGAACTCAAGTAGTTCACCCACCAAATAATAATAACAACAATAATAATAATTCAATTTAAAAATAGGCAAATGACATGGAATCAACCTAAGTGCCCAAGAACTGATGACTGGGTTGAAAAACTGGGGCACTTAACAGATTCAAGAATGTAAAATTCTCTACTGATAATGATGTACATAGTAATATCCTTGATTTGAGTGTCAAAAATAAATTACCAATTAATTTTTAAAATAGTGCATTATTAGAAGAAAATAGAAGGGAATGATGTATGTACTTTTTAAAAAAATTTGTATGCCTTTGCAAACCAAGATTCAACATGCAAAATGAAATTCTACACGGGAGATAGGAATTTTTTATTTATTTGTCTTTCATTTATTTATATATAATTTTGGAAATCAAGAGTTACAATAATAAACTATGATATTAACATATATGTCACTATTAGGAAACTTCACTCACCATTTTTTTGGTTTTGATAATGGTTTGTATTTGCTGTATTTCACACGCCATTCAAGAACTTCTTTACAGTGCTGACATACTCCATCATGAAGTTTTGCATTAATTTTCTTAAAAACAAATAGAAAAATATTTTGAGAATTTCACCTATAAGCCAGCATTGTAAACTCCACAAGAAGATACAAATGCTCTTCAAAAATAAGAGCTAACAGTAATCTGAATACCATTTTATGATATATTTTGTATTTGTATATACAGCATTTAAATTGGTTCTTTCCAAAAACGATTATTCTTGACCGGTATAGCCCTGAATCATCTAGGAAACTTTTAAATCTCCTGGCAGAATATGTCTAGATATACTGACTTAGATCTAGGTATGTAGATATACAGTTTTTTCAGTATTCATGATAGAAGATGTGAGTATGCACATGAGATTATGAAGGAGAGAGAAAGTACTCTCCCCACAGTCTGGCCATGTCATGATCCTCTTTCTCCAATCCTCTAGCCCATTCAATCTTGGGCATTCCACATGTGTCAGACATGTTTCAGTTGACTGGGCTGGGGACGCAAATCACAGCCACCATGTGGAATCTGGCTCCTCTTCGGTAACATGTTATTGCTGCACCACTGAGCTGGCCCTTGCAGGTGTATTTTGAGAAAGTCTTCAATGATTTGATGCTACATGTGCTAAAATTCAAACTGTATAGTTAATATATGTGCATTTTAATGCATGTAAATTACAATTCAATTAAAACACAATAATAAACAAGAAAACCTAGTTCATATGTTAAGATCATTGTTTCAACTGTTTAATTTAGAAATTAGATAGTCCTGAATTGTCAGCCTTCAGGTAAGAGCAGGGACTAGCAACTGAAAAGAAGGATGCCCTGGAAAAGTACTGGATGCAGGAAGGCATGCCCTTAGGCAATTCAATCTTTTGTATTCACAGGTAAGGAAAAATGTTGTAGAAAACTTCCCCCAGTGACCTGGTTTCATCAAAATGGAAAAAAATATATATGTGCATGTGAATTTCTATAGTAGGAAAAATACTTTATGAGGGTAAACCAAATTCATTATAATTTGAGAAGATGAGAAAATTTTAAATGTGGGATGTAGTCTCTGTTTTGTATTTCATAATGTTAATTTGATTCAGGATCTATACTCCATGAGAAGACTTCAAACGGTACATGAAAAACTGGAATGAGAATATGAATTTATCTTAATGCAAAAAAAGAACTGAAATTCATGCATAGCACTTTCATAATCCCTTTCTGTGAAGTTTTGAAGACCCTCTCATATTTTTTTGGAGTACTCAAAGAATTCTCTAAATTCTTTTGGCTATGGAAGATCAATCTTTGCCTATTGTTGGATAATGAGCAGACAACATTTTAAATTTTGTTTCCTTTTCAAGTTTCTCAAGGGGAGAAACACATCACTAAGATTAGATTCTTTGGAAGGCTATTTGATAGTAAGTGAAAAGCACGATATTTAGACAAGATCATCTGAAAGAAAACCAAACTTTTGAACAGTGCTTGATATTCTTTTTTTTTTTTTTTTGGAGAGGTTTTCGCTATAGGGTGCCTGCGCTCGCCAGACAGACAGACAGAGACAGAGAGACAGAAAGCGAGAAATCACCCCCCCCGGGGGGGGGGATGGCCACGCCACAATCCCTTCTCCTCCATTCTCCTCTCGGGATCTTGGGCATGCACACACATGCGCCCAGCATGAGTTTAAGCTACCAGGTCCAGGACTTGAACCACGGTCGACTACATGGGAGTCCAGCAACATAGCCATTATGCCAACTGCTGGTCCCAGCAGGGCTTGATATTCTTGAAAGTTCTACACAAGGAGGTAATATAACTTGAAGAAACATTTATTCAAAGAGAAAATATTTCAGGAGTACCTTAAACACCATAAATTAAGCTGTAAATAAATTATGTTAGAGTTTAACTCTGTAGTGAGAAACCTAATTCTGTTACTTATGAATTGTGTATGGGTGCATTCCTTTTTTCCTGACACAGATGGAGGATCTCTGGAAAATAAGCTGTAGATGACATTACATTCCCTTCTAAGTGGTCCACTAACTTGCCAGATGGAAGGAACCTGCACACCAATCTGCTCTTCTCAATCCTGGCACTTACTTTACCCGCAGAGGGCAGACTAAGAAATGCAGAACTCAAGTTCACATTTTGCAATTTGTACTCACTGCCCTCTGCTACCTAGAATATCTCACTAAAAACATTATTTTAGGGACCAGCAGATGGCATAATGGTTAAGGTGCTGGACTCTCATATGGCTGACTGTGTGTTTAAGTCTCAGATCCAGTGGCTTGAAAATCACGCCATGTGTGAGCGCATGGCAAAAATACCAAGAGAATGAAGGAGAAAGGATTGTGGCGTGGCCATCCCCCTGGGGGGTAATTTGCCACTTTCCCTCTCTCTGTCTCAGTAAAGCACATGCGCCCTGTGACAAAAATCTAAAAAACAAAACAAAACAAAACAAAGCATAATTTAGTTTACATTTCCTTAACTCTAACAATAAATGGAAAAAATGAATGACTTTAAACTATGATTACAATAGGAATGTGGTAGAAACTGTCTACTTGGAATAATCTTAGAACACAGAATATTTTATTACCTGTACTTTTATTACATATAACACACTCTGCTTGTGAACTAGGAAACATGATTTGGTTTCTTGTTTATTTCTGTATTCAATTTCTGATTAGTCCATCTTGATTTACAAAGCTGTGCATAGTTGGAAACTGGTTTCTTCAGGGTGGATCAACAGTAGAACAAAACAGGTCTTTGTGGGAACTTGTCCTGTGAGTGACGCGTGAAGCAGTATAAATGGAGACGTTGTACGCAGAGTTCTCATGACTAACAGGCACTACTCTGAAACTAAACTTGATTTTTATGTTAAGAAATGAGTGAGGGTAAGGATCAGAATGAATAGTACTTTCACTTAAAACTAGGTGTAGAAAGAAAAAAAATACACCTGTTTTACCATATTTTGGCAAACTGTGAATTCCAGAGATGTGAGCAAAGAAAGCTAAATCCTAGTTCTGGAATTGTTTTGCCTGGGGCAAAGGAGACACAAAGGCAATCTTAATTTACTGGCATCTGTATTTACATCTAACCTTGTTTCTGTGATTTCTTAGTATAGTTCTCATGGTAGAAGGTCATAGGTTATTAAGGTTAAAATTTAAGTGTACCCAAATATAAAATCAAAATATAGACTTAGACATAAAAAAGCCTTTAAAGATCATTTAGTTGAACAGTGGCTTTCCAGATATTTATAAAGAAAAAGAAAATCTTCAGTGAAAGAAAACCTTATTGGGAACCAGCAGTTAGTGTAATGGCTATGTCGCTGGACTCCCACGTAGTCGACTGCGGTTCGCGTCCCGGACCCGGTGGCTTAAAACTCATGCCGGGCGCATGTGCGTGCGTGCCCAAGATCCCCAGAGGAGAATGGAGGAGAAGGGACTGCGGCATGACCATCCCCCCTGGGGGGTGATTTCTCGCTTTCTGTCTCTATGTCTCTCTCTGTCTGTCTGGCGAGCGCAAGCGCCCTATAGCGAAAATCTCTCCAAAAAAAAAGAAAGAAAACCTTATTGTTCAAATGAATACTTCTTTAAAAAGTTAGAATAAACTTAAGAAACATTAGAAGAGACACGTCTACTTAATGTGTAAATAATATCTTAAAATATTTTAGCCATCATTAATTCATACAACATATATTTTAGGGTAGATGTTGCTTTTCCTGCTTTAAGCATTCTGTCAGATAAATACATCTTTTGTAAGATAACACAGCAATCCAAACAGAAGTTGGGTGAAAACTTCAACTCCCAAGAAGGCAGCCCATAGCCAATTGTTTTTTTGGGGGGGGTGGGGGGAGGTTTTCGCTATAGGGCGTGTGTGCTTGCCAGACAGACAGAGAGAGACAGAGACAGAAAGTGAGAAATCACCCCCAGGGGGGATGGTCACGCCGCAATCCCTTTTCCTCTATTCACCTCTCGAGATCTTGGGTACGCATGCACACGCGCCCGGCGTGAGTTTTAAGCCACCAGGTCTAGGAGCGAACCACGGTCGACTATGTGGGAGTCCAACAACATAGTCATTACGCTAACTGCTGGTTCCCCTGATTGTAAATACAACATCTGTATCAACTGCTGATGCTGAAAAATATTTTATGAACTATAAAGTATCATTGGGCCAGCAGGTGGCATGGAGGTTAAGGTGCTAGATCCCACATGGCAGATTCTGCATTTCAAGTTCCAGACTTGGTGGCTTGAAAATTATACAGGGTGATGGCGTGTATACACCCAAGACCCTGAGGAGAGAATGGAGAGAGGATAATGGCATGACCTTTCCCCATGGGGGTGTAATTTGTCACTTTCTCTCTATCTGGAAAGCACATGTGCCCTGCAGCAAAAACTAAATATATACTATATATAT